GTTTTGAAATTCGAAACATAAAACCATTCTTAAGGGGCTGAAGATTGGTAAAGTACCCAAGTGCCAATTGACTCCAACTGAATTGTCTTCCCCTCTGCATATATGCTCTATGTTGAACTGCATATTTTGGCCCATGCACATTATAAGTTGTTCAAGAAAATGCATGACCTCCTGTAGCATTCGATTAATACCTGTGTTACCCTTGTAAAGATGATGACTAATAATGAAAAAATATGTTAATACCTTTTTCCCTTGGAATGGTTTAGGAAAAGAGAAATCATCGAAAAAACAATCTTCGGCTATTATCGCATCTAGTTGTTTCATGTTCTTCTCGTTAATGGCCGAGTAAAAGAGCACGATTGTTTGAGCTGGAGAAAGTGGACTTGGGCCATCGTTAAAACATTTAGCAAAAAGCTTCTGTGGTTTTCTTCGAATGGCCCTCCTCTTCGTATATGTTAGTGAAGGCGGCATATAATAAACATTTGCTTGTTGAGATTGGGGTGTTCTGTTCAATGGCACGTTCGTGAGAACAATTTTTTTTGTCATTGTGGGCAACATAATGTGCCTGGTAATGGTATTACTGACAAGATTTGATGTTTTTCCCCCCTTTTTTACAACAATGGTGATATGATCTGAAGGGGCATTGTTATGTTTCTTTAATGATGAGAAGAGGCATATAGATTTCTTGTTCTTTAGAGTGTTTGGGTTTGTGCTTTTTTTTGCCTTGAGTTTTGGCCAAAGAATGATACCATGGTGAGCACTGATTCATTTCTTTCATCAAGCAACTTAAAATCTTTACACACACACACACACACGCACAGAGCCTATTACCTTATTAGGGATTTTTTCCCCCTGATTTTTTCTCAATTGAAATGAGATTGGATGAAATTTTTAAAATTTTTACAATTCAATTTTCATTTTTTATCTCATCAGTATGGTCAAATATTCTTTTTGGTAATAATCTATTCAATAATTACTATTAGAGCTTTCCTTGTAATATTTCACCATTTGCTTGAACATATATAACTACACACAATCATTATNCTCACTACAATGTAACAATTTAAGATTAAAGCATTCATTGTATTATCTTATTACCTTCTGCACTCTCATTTGTACTGCCGAGAGTCACCAAATTTCAAAACAACTGAAGGAAAAAGAAAAACACTTTTGATTTACAGAGGACAAAGAATCATGTCACCAAAATTGCTTTTCTGTGCAGATATCATTACAGGAGAACTCAAATACACGAATTTTTCAACACAAATCACTATTTTTTCTTCCTCATTACAGTGCCCTTTTCCTCGGCGTACCCAAATACCGAGACGAAGATGATGATGACATGATAGACACAAGTGATCGAATCGCTTTAGCTGCTATCTTCTTTTTGATCTGCCCTCTCTGTGGTATTGGCCCTCTTTCCTTCAAATTCTTGCCTAATGCAAGAGGTGAGTCGTTATTCACCTTGCCCCTCATTTTTGGTATTCAAATACTTCAAACTCAGGACTTATAACTTAGTTTTCAATGTGATTGAACTAATTATGTCTGAAAATTGGAGTGTATATATATAAGGCTTGAGCTTCTTTGAGTTCAAAGCAATTTGGACAGTCAGTTGGGGTGCATGCCAGCTAAATTTGTTTGAGACCGGTAAGATTCTGTTTATAGCAAGCAGGTTACCAAATTATATGTTTATTTCCTTTATTTCTAGTGTTATGTGAGTTGACTATTTAAGGGAACATACTATTATATAAGAAAATTAGATGAATAAAAAACATAAATATATCGAATGAAATATTGAAATAATATATCTAGCTAATTAAAATTAACAAGAATTATTATTTAATATATTTTCTTGTTAAAGTTTTTTCTTAAGTTAA